GGGGGGGGGGGGGGGGGGGGGGGGGGGGGGGGGGGGGGGGGGGGGGGGGGGGGGGGGGGGGGGGGGGGGGGTGCGCGTGCACTTGTACTCAATAACGTCTCTTAATTGCTCGTTTGCATTGCAGATTGAAGGCTCGTACGTGTTGACGAGCGAAGACCTATCAACAAGCTCAATAGTGCGACGACTGGTGACGAACATGATGAACTCCACTCTTCGCAAGCTCGAGGTGACACTTGGTTCAGGAGATTTGTTTTGGTTTGTTCCTGTCTTGCCTATTGGGTGCTGTCATTTTTTTCTTCAAGACGTTTCTAGCGCGTGGGTAGGGATATGATTTGTTGCCGCACCACTTTAAAACGTATACAAGCGACGAACCCGTTCTGTTTGCGATACCGTTATTTTCGTGCAGCCCTTTTTGTTTTTTACGGCGTGTTGTGAGGAGTAGGAATTCTTCCGATGAGCGTTACCGCCAAAGACACAAAATTACACTCCCTGCACGTAAACTACACATGTATGGTACTACTGTGTTAAGGCTCTCTGAGAGTTTCCTCGTCTGGGCCTCTTGCTGTTCCAACGTGTGTGTTCATGTGTCGTGTGGTCTGGCCCAGACTCTGGCGACGGAGCCGTTGCGCAAGAGCAGCATCACGATCACGCAAGTGTCGGCTAAGCGCAGCCGCTTGGTGATCGAGGGGGAGATGGCCTACGATAGTGCGAAGGTTCCCTTCACGTATCGAACGAGTATCGGGGTCAAGGGAAAGGTGAGATTTCTTCCGTCGGGAAGATGTTTCTTCGCGCGAGCGAGGGACGAAGGTGTTGTGCTTGCCTTGTCGGATGTTACGTTGCCCACCAGAACGCGTGACTGTAAGCTTTCGCCCCTCGCTGCTCGAGTTTTTTTTCGTCTCTTGGTTTGGTACGTGAAGTTTTTTTTGAGACGCAAGTGTGTATGGGCGGGGATGGGCGAGTGGAGGGTTCGAACGGGCCAGCTGTATCGAAGTTTATGAAGGATGAGTACATAGCACGGGCGAGTTGACTGACAAGGCCAGTGTTGCGTGGGCCATCTTGTCACTCAAGCAGGAGAGCGACGGCCATGATCCGCCCGATAAGCATCGAAAGCGTCCTAAGTAGGGCTCTCGTGGTCGTGGATATAATAGTCGTTCCATGTCCGCAATGGTGTGCCTCCTTGGAACCCGCACTACCCGAGTCTCGACAGAAGCGCATGTTTCGAGGGTTTGTGCGTTAACCCATTGTTCTGGACGTGGCCTTTGCGTCTTTCGGTATATTCTCTGGACGCGTCAGCTGCTGGGGTCAGACAAAAGGAAGCGCAGCTGCACAGGATTTTTTTTACATGGGATACATTGTAGTGAAACCCGAAAAGTCCAAAAGAGTGTTGTAAGGTGCCCAGGTCTTGGTCGAACAGAAGGATGCTCGACGCAGCGTGAAGCTGAACCGATGGTGCCGCTGCTCCAACAGGCGGAGCCAGGTAGACCGATCCACATTGTAGCCTCTCTCTTAAGCTGACAGGATGTTTGCTGCTGCATCGCCTCCCTTGTTAGGCTCTGCCCATACCTCACGCCTCGCCCCAATCTGCCTCCCGCCCTACTTCCTGGACATTTCTTCCGCGCCCGCCCGCCGCCGCCCCCGCCGCTCTGTCAGGGTCACGTGGTGTACCTCAAGGACGCGGAAGTGTTTTGGGAGAATATCGGCGGGTCGCTGTCCCTCCCGCTCCTGCCTCTGGAGACGTTCGATGTCGACATGGGGGAAGGGGCGCGGATCGAGTCCATCCGCATTGTGAACGGGCAGGTGGCGCTAAAGGCCAGGGTCGTGATCTCGCCGTTCCCTCCGCTGCTTGTGGCCTCCGTGAGGAAGCGGGCGGCTTTCAGGTTTGACGTGGCGGAGAGGCTGTCGGTAACGTTCGGTAACCTCGTGCAGAACATGAAGATCTTGGGGCTCCAGGTCAGACCAAACCAGGCCTGAAAGAAAGATGCATATGATAGGATGTGATAGATACTATCTTCTGCGCGCGGGGGCGGGGGGCGGGGCGTTGGTTGGTCCGTCCTTGTTGTATATTAACTGTTGTCTTGACTCGCGTTGGTGAGTACGTGTGTGTATGTTTTCGTTTCTGTGGTGGAGAGTAGGAACGGCGCGCGGGGAGGGGGTTGGTTGTGGAGTGTGTTGTGGGGGTTTTGGTTGGCCACCGTAAAGGCATTGGCTGTGTGGTGGTTTGGTTGAACGGGAGGAGAGCTGTCGAGACGGTATGCGTCCGCGACGCAGAGGGCGGGATTTGCTTCGAGGTGTGCCTGCATCCCGGCAGTGGATTGGGGCAGACCGAGAAGTGTTTGCTCCCCACACGAGTAGGAACATGTTTCACCTCTTTTGCGTTGAATTCAAGAGGCATCATGCCCCCTTTTCTAGCTTTCTTGCGCTCATAGACGCGTGCCCAGCTTAGTCGCCTGGCGCAGCTCGGAGGGTTGAAACCGGCGGGTTGGGGCTGCGTAGCTCGGCTCAGTCGAGGAGGCGTGAGATTGGTTGCAGCGCGTACGGTGGGAGTTTTGGTTCAGCGGCGGCTGGGCATTGTTTACAGGTCGGTTTTGGTCGCGGCGGCATCACGCGGGGTTGTAACGGCAGGGCAATCGTGAGCATTCCGTTGGCCTCGGGTATAGATAGCTACATGCAACAGGGATAGCCTAGAGACTGCAAGTAGAGTTGTCCTTTTGGTCGCCTACGATGCGGGCGATGGCAGGTTGTTAGCTACAGATAGCGCCCGCACTTGAGAACTTAGCAGTTAAGAAATTGAGACTCCCAAGAAATCAGAAGCTAAGAACTTGAGCACCATTTGTGAGCTTGGTTAAGAACCCTGCACTAAAAACTATATAGCGGCCATTTGTAGCCCACCAAGAGGATCATCAGCAAAATAATAACTCCAGCCTCGGCCGAAACTAGAGGTTCTTAAGTGCGGGCGCCATCTGTAACGTAGAATGCAGATATCGGAGTAAAGGGGTTTGTGGTCGAAAGCGTGTCTGGACGAGACGTATGTACGAAAAGGGTGCTTCGTTGTGGTACTACCACGTAACGCGGGTGGGATGCTTGCTTCTGTGTTGAGATGTCCCTCGACTCTGCATGGCTTCGCGCGAAGAACGCAAGACTGTATGGAGCGTTGTGGTGTTTTGTGTATGCGTCCGTCGGCACTGCTTCTGTGATGCACGTGCTTCGTCGACACCGTTTCATATGCACTGCTGTTAGGCAGTACTTTCGACTTTTCTGACTTCGTCACTGGTGTCTTATCGCTGAATTATTCTCTCAAGCGTATTTGAGCCTCGCGTGGGTTGCATCTCCGAGGAAGGGAAGAGCAACGACACGCGACCTGTTGTGCTACCTATCGCACGTTTACGCGTTGCACCTTCAGCGAAGCTTTTGATACACGGCGCCGCGTGTTGTCGAGTTCCTTCCCTCTGATACGCGCACCACGAAAAGTGAAAGTTTCTATCAAACAGTGGCGCCGGCAACTAATCCCGGACACCCTGAGATGTACGTGTCGTTTGTGTTCTTTCGGCTTGTCTCACCCCGTATCCACACTGCAACTGCTCGGGCACGCTTGCTGCAAAGGGCAACCTGCTTTCGTTGCTCTTTCATCACAAGCTAAGCATGCGACGCCCTGAGTTTACTACGTGTTGTAGGTGCATGCTAGCACAGGTTGGGCGAGGGTCGAATGATAGATTTGTGCAGTGGCATGATGAAAAGAGGGGCTTAAACATAACATACAGATAGATACACAAAATGGCTACCAAACTGCCTTGTTGAGCCTGTTACCCACAGGGGAGATATCGTTGTATGCTGTCTGGGAAACCGTAGACATAGACGGGTAGCTTGTTGCTCACGCTATGAATTCATTGCTAATCTATCTTAGACTTGTTTCTACATGAAGAGATGGATTTGTTGTGTGATAACTAAGAAAATATAAAAATATAATGTATAGTCTACATATCGATCGCTCTGATACCGCATTTTGATCGAAAAAGCTCGGCATCAAACCAGAGGGCAAAAATGTCATCACACCGTTGGCTCTCTTCATAAACCAGGTGACGACGCGCAAACTGTTTTATCGCACATTGTGACAATGGACTTAACTATTGTCGACCAAGACCAAATCACTCCCAATGCCTGCGCTGCGAACGAACGTGGGAGCTGGAGCTGGAGCTGGTGCCAGAGTTTTTTTTTCTTCCTGCTGGGAACATTCTCGATCGCTCGTTCGATTGGCTGGTTCCAACAGTACCTCGGCCGGGAAGGATCCGGCGCGCTTTCGGCAGCACAACTGCGGGGAGTCGAACAGCGAAGTCGCGGGTCGCGGGGCTGCACTGGAGAAAATTGGATTGAACATGGGCTACAGCAGTACTACTCTTTAAGATCAACTTTCGCTATACGTCAGCAGTCGCTCTTGGTCCGGAACTGACAATACCGCCATCGGCCAGCAAACTGCTTGCGATTGCAGCTTGTAATTTCGGAAGGGGGGCGATGCGACGGTATTGGGCGTATTCTTCCATAACCGTAGACCTGGGCTAATAAACAAAGAGAACCATGGCGAAAACGACCACCTGGACAGAAGAAAACTATAGTTCGACCAAAGCATCGGGGTGTATCAAGGCGGCACATCCGCTGCTGATTCGAGAGCTGAAGCCAAAAAGCAACCGGTCAAAGAGGTCAATCGACGGAGAGATGGACGTCAGAGGACGTCGCAGTTTGTCACCTCAAATATCCGTAACGGGATCCATTAGTCCTGTTTCTACTCACGGCCACTCTGTCCCCCGTCTCTTCGACTCCGCGACGACCACCAGCTGCACCAGAAAATGCGAGCAAACCGGGGCGCGGGCGGTTTCTGAGACGATACAACAATGTCTGTCTGGCCTGACACATCGTCGCACAACTAATGGTCCCAGAGGCTTTCTCCTGCTGTTGTTGAAGTACGGTAGCGCCCAGCAACATCCGCTCGATGAAGGCCGATGACACGCTAACCCCTCCTCGCTACCAGAGCGAGAAGCTGGGGCGTCGAGAAAAATTTCGGGACATAGCTCGCAGAGTGCCGAAGGATAAGCTCCGCCTCTTCGTGACCATGACTCAAGTTGCGGCAGCAAAGGTGAGAGTCGGCCTTCAATATAGATATGCATAGAGTATGAATTTGTTCGAGGTATGATGAGCAATTCGGCGTGAAGACTTCAAGTACACAACCTATGATACTTTAGATAGATGCGAATCAACGACCGGTCGTTATGGTAATTGGTGGCTGAAGAGAATTTCTTCAAAATTACAGAGTGCGCATACACCGACGACGTTGTCATCTACAAGTAGTCTATACCTTCCTCGTACCGTTTTTTATGGTGTTGTTTGGTGGTGTCAAAGGCTTACGCTTGCTTGTGAGTAGGAATCCCCGTTTGATCCCGTTCTCAGACCATCTTGACTTGGTGATGTTCACGAAGGAGAAGAAGTGGGAGGTGTTTCATCTTGCTATTGGCAGCAGCAGCAGTAGTGCGACTAATTACCGCATGCGTGAAAGTCGCACCATCAAATCGTCGATCAAACTTGCTCAAACGCAACTTTTGTCATCCTTTTGTTTCGTTTCAGGCCATCGGCATCTCACCGACGACGCTCAAGAAGCTGTGCCGATACTACGGGATATCGCGGTGGCCCTACCGCCAGATCGCAGGCAAAACACGAGCCGTGGATCGTCTCGGGGAGTTGCTCAACGAGCCGTCGTCGGAGTTGCCCAAGGCCGTCCTCCATGACCACCTCTCGCTGCTTCGCTGTCGGGTCGTCGGCGACGGGGGGCCAACGGTAAAGTCAAACGCTATCATGTAAACCGACTTTCATGTTTGATGATGATATACAACGAGCTCGGAGCTGAGCTCGTATACATACGCGCCTTTTTTTTCCTTCCCAAATCCGATTGATTTTCGTCATATTGTTATGTGGTGAAGTTGGCTCAGCCTGGGCAAAGAGGTTAGTGCAATGAGGAACGACTCATTGTGCGTATTGTTTACCATCCGGAAATCCCCGCCCGCCCCTTCACTCACCGAGTAGTGACTCGTGACTGTCCACAGGGTATTTGACGAACACCCCACCATTCAGCTCCTACGAGCGGAAATACAGAGATATTTATTTGTGTTGCACATTGTGTCCTATTGTCACGCGGCGACCTTAACCTCCGTCTCCTTCCGTCCCCTTGTAGCGGCAATCAATCGCCGTTCCCGCGCCAGATTCTTTGATATCCGCAACCGAGCACTGCTGCACCAATCGTTTTTTTCTTGAACCACTCGATGTCGCACTCGTCGTTCCTTCTCTGTTTCCGCCGAGCACGGTGGCCCCCCCTCCCTTAGAATGTGATCCCTCTTCTGCCTTCCTGTCGGCAGATGGCAAGAAGAGCAAGCAGTGCTCCCCACGGGCTGGTCCGCTACGGCGGCGCCGACACGGACCACGCGAGCACGCCAGGCGGAGCCGCCAGTTTCATTCTCAACGCTGAGCCGCCTTCATCTCCGCGTGCCGCAGCTGCGTGTTCGGCGCCTCTTTCTTGTCACCTGCCTCAGAGCTCCGCGCGCGATGGAATGGCCAGCAGCATGCCTGCCTACTGCTGCTGCCACGGAAACGGTGTCGCCCCGATCGGTGTTGTGCATACCATGCAGATGACGGCCTTCAGAGGCCGCGGCCGCTACGACGGCGAGAGCATCCGGCCTGCGTTTTCTTCCACCGCTGTGCCGGTCGCGGTGGCGCAGACAATGCCGACCCCCGCCACTGGCAGCAGCACGCCTACCGTTGTTGGGCGGCGCTCCCACGTGCTTCCTAGCACCGTCGGCGAGGCAGAGCCCGCTGCCAGCGCAGACGACGGTGTCCGCAGCAACAGCAGCTGCAGTGCCGGAAATGACGTAGATCGCGATTTGGTCCGTGCTCCAACGCAGACGGTTGCTCGAGAAGGGGCTGGGGTTGCACCGCTACCACGGCCCCCGCCACCGCCGCCTTCTTCGTGGTCGCCTGGTCTTGCAGACTTTCCCCCGCAGCGAGCGGCGATGCACAGGTTGGAGGGCGCATCGCGACCCATGGCCACAACCGCTGGCTTCGGCCCACAGCACCACGGGCCATTCCAGCCGCGCCGAGAGCCGCCCCAAGGGCCCCTGGCAATGCCGTGGCCAACATGCAAGGGTCCAAGCCGGCTCTCGTACGGTAGCATTCCTGTGCAGCACCCGGGGGACGGAGCCTTTGGCGGCTTCGACGCGATCTTCGGCTGCAACGGCGCCGTTTCTTCTGTTTCCACGACGGACGATGCCTCCGGCGGTGTTCTCGCCGCTGCTACTTCTCTGGGAGGCGGGGCGACCGGCGGCACCGGGAGAGGCATGGCGGACGCACAGGCAGGAGTAGCGGAGGCACAAGCAGAGCTGAGGAGCGCCAGGTTCGATGAGCTGTGCGCGCTGGACAGGCTTCTGTTCGGCGACAGGAGTTTGTCGCCCCCTGCTGCTGCTGCTGCCGCCGCTGCTCCTGGTACTGTTGCTGCTTCTGCCGTCGCGGCCACCGCCGCTGCTGGCCCTTGTGCTGCCGTCCGCCTTTCCGACATGGCTAGGAGGACCACTGGGTGCGCCAACGGCGCTACAAACCTGGATCCTGAGTCTGCTGCTGCTGCTTTTCTCGGTAGGGTTGGTGATAAAGCCTCTTCCCCCGCGCACGTCGGCGCTAATTCGTGGAGAGTCGATGTTCCCCGGCAAAATGCATGTAAACACGTGATTCCGGAGGGGGAGGTGTGTGTGTACTCATAGCCTTGCATGCCTACTCGTTAGACCAGGGGGGGGGGGNATCGGCCAGTGCAAGGTGAAGACGGTTCAAACGTTGATTTATCTGTCCTACTCGCGTGCTTTGTTTAGAGTGGATGGTCGACGCCAATAGACTCGTCCTCGCTTCACCGCTTGTGGCGGCGACCTGCGGAAGGCAGGCGTTGGAATGGATGTACCGGATTTGGAGCATTGCAGAGTGAAGCGGGGGATTTACCATTTTTCCTAGCACCTACTACTTGGTTTCGCGGAATGTGTCATCTTCTTGTCGTAAATCGTTTGCGTTTTGTTTGGAAAGAAATCCCATTCAATCACTTGAGCCTTTTTGTGCCTCGAGTAGTCTAATCAAGCGAGATTTTTACATGTGTACTGTTTGATTGTTGTTTGTCTTCACTTCAAATCAGCGCTCACGGCACTAGTGCCGTTTACTCCAACCCGTGGTCACACAGAAGAGGCCCTCTCTACCCTCCCCTCCTGCGGTACTTTGCCTTCGATTTTTTATGCGAGAAGAGTTCAGCACTCTCTTCCCTCTGTGTACACACGAACTAGCGCTATCCACTAGGCCAGGAGCGGAAGCGAGAAGAAAGCTCACTTTGCATGAAAAACTCATTTACGCCGGGATTCGAACCCCTGACCTGACCTCTAGAAGGTATCGAGGTTACCAACTAGACCACCGGAGCGACCGGTCGTTACTGTACCGTCATGTAAACATAGCCGAATAAACATTAACATTACTATGCGTGTGTATTTCTGGCAAGTCTCGTGGTCCTCTCTCTCAGGCGAATGACTTCCCACATCTGCGCGCGTGGATCATCGGTAGATAGGAGAGCAAGGTGGAGATTTATTCATGTCGTTTTGTATGGTCTAGGGATGTTTGTGACTCCAACCGCTAGCTCCTGGGGCACCGGTGAATAGTGGAGGGAGCGTCGCTACTCCAAGGCAGATAGTGGTGATGTCTGTTGGCAAGAACTGAAAGAGTGGAGGGAACGTCGTTACTCCCAAGCTTTGAATGTACTCTACAGCTCTCAAACGATAGATAATAAATATTATGGTAGGCGCATTTCGTCACGCTTCTAAGCGTATCATGCAAGGTGGGGAACATGTAGTATTTGCGCCATGGCTGTGAAAGGACGGGGGGGGAGTGAAGGGTCGATCAAGAATTTTGTGTGACCCAAGTCCACGTTTGTGTTGACGCATATCAAAAAGAGGCGGCGCAGAGGTTGAGCATAAACATAAGGTAACTATTAGATACACAACATATCCACTGAGCTAAACAGTTAGCGCTGACTGTTTAGCTCAGTGGATATGTTGTATATCTAACAATGTTGTATATCTAACAGTAACGATTGAATGGTGATGAGGTGTTCAGGAGAGGTTTTTACGTTTGAATGATGGTAAGTAAGGTGTCAAGGACGAGGGTGTTAGACGGTTTCGTTTGAATGATAGTAAGGTGTCGAGGAGGGAGTTCTACGGAATACGGTTCCATCTGTGCTGGGAGCTCGATGACAGGGAGTAGTAGGCCGGGATGATACTGCGAACAGAGCGAGCGCTAAGAAGGTGTTTGCTTGAAGTTGCTGTGCGCCGCCTCCGGACCAAGTGTGTGTGTAACGGGCTCAAATCGAAGCAAGACGCGATCGAGCAGCTCGACTTTCTCGGGACTCCTGCCACATTGCGATCAAGGATACAGGAATGTCAAACACAACTGCCTTGTACTGCTGTGACCTCTTTTCAGAACAGGTGACACCGGAAGCAAAGAGAGCGTGTGCCTCTACTCTTGCCCGCTTCCGCAACGCCGAAACCACAGAGTAAGGTTTTCAAGCGCTCCGGTGCATCTCACCACGTGCTCAACAAGGAGAGACGAGGCACGACCTTCGCGAGTGTCTTGCGCTGGATTTTTCTGTTTCTTCGCGATGATATTAATCAAGTCAATGGTGTCAATGGTCCCCACACACCCCACACACACTCAAGTGCGAAAAAATGGCCACATGCTGCCAGCGCCGCATGCAGGACAAACTTCAAGTGTTCAAGAAACAATATTAGGATTTTTGGTGAGCAGCGGGTTTTGAAGCCGTGTCTTCTGCAACCAAAGCAGTAACTCAGACATCTCTTCGTCGACGTCATTGTGAAAAGAGGGAATCGTCCTGGACAGACGTTGGGGAGATTGTACCTCTATGAAAGTGGTCTCTAAGGTTTTGAACTCCAAAGATACCGCAGGGAGGTGCGAATCTCCAACGCTGTATACACAAGCGTTCCACTCAGGCAACGGTCACAGATATGGGGCGATGTGTACGATCACCGGACAGACTGTGATGCTCGGTAGAGAGGCAGAATCTCGATATGAGATGGGGACAGAAGTGAAGAGTGAGAGGTGTGCGAGGGCACGCCCTCGCATCCCTCTCGGACAAAAGTCACGGTCAACTATCCGAGGAAGTCTCGTGGAAGACGTCTTAAGGTTCCTCGTAAAGTTGCACGCTCCCTCGTGGTTCGGAGCGTTGGCAACATCGACATCGCTCCGAGAGACAATCTCTCCGAGGAGAATGAGGGAAACGTTCCCCAAGGTTGTAGGATTTGTGGTGAATCACGTAGTAGGTTGGGTTCGTAGAGTTGTGACCCATATCTCCACAATTAGGGATAATTTTCTCAGTATTACAGCCAAGCGTCACAGTAGTGATACGGTCGAACGCAGAACCTGCCAGGGCAACTCAACACACAACCTTTTAGGTTGGACCCCCGACCTGAAGTTTGTAGCAAAGATGAATAGGCGCTCTCGCTCTAGAGGGTGTTCGGAACACGGGCTGCACGCTCATGGTGCCGACGAAATCCAACAAGCGTTTTGTTGCCGTCCTTGAACACCCGCCGCGCAGCTCAGTCAGTCACGAAAACACCACACACCTCGTTACGAGCGCCGGCGTTCACCATCCTCTCGGGCCGACGACTCCTACATCTACAACTCCCGTCGTGCCTGGTTGTGCCAACGAAAAGTCTGCTGCGGCTGTTCCCCTTCACCAACAAATGTTGACCCAAGTAGACAACACAGCAAGAGGCGTTTGCTGTTACTATTACCGGCGCTCGGAAGGCACCAAGTCGACAACGACTCTCATTGTCGCGAGGGTGGCATCGCTGCAGCCGGAGATCACGCCGCCGCTCTCCTTGACGGCCGCGAGAGCGTCCAGCGCCGCCTGTGTGATCGCCTCGCCAGGCAGCAGCGCCGGAATGCCTGACAGAACACGATCACAGAGTTAACATCAAGCAGATTATGCGCGACAGTGATTCAGCAAGAGGGAGCCATTTGATTTCCTATGATGAAAGCAAAAAGCTCACAGAGTCGCACAAAACATTCATCAATCTAGGCGGGGCCATCGTGCCAAGTACGTACTGAAGGATGTTTTAGGCCCAACTGCTGTTTCATCGTTGTTCGCCGACGGTGCCGCAGTGGAAAATCGACGGTCTCGGCGCTCGCGACCTTTGAACAACCGCGTCTGGCAGAATGATTTTTGGGTGGTAAAATAGGGACCCACGCGCGCGGACGCGGCAGGGGCGAACGTCAAAGCGGCCAGCTGACTGACCCACCTGGGGGGTATGGGCACACCGTTTCTGCGCTGGCCTGCCCGATCGCGTCGACCGCGCTGACGGTCTTGGACGGAGCAAAAAACGCCTCTCTGGAAAACCATGGTGACGAACGTAACGCCGACGAGGGAAGCGGGGGGTACTGATGTAAACGCATGAATTAAGCGTTAGACCATTGTTGAGGGACGGGGCGGGGTCTGTTGCGGGGGGGGTACGGGGAGCACCATCGAGGAGTAGACAGGGAGGGGCCGATGAAAGACACCGGGAAAACTGGGATTCGTTGTCGGCAGTGATCGTCGTGGGAAAGCAGGGCTGGCTGCTGCCGGGGCTAGATCGTAGCATTCGAGTAGACTATCTTCCGGAAGTCGTCGAAGCTCGTTCTAATTGAAAAAAAACGCGTTTATGAGACTTTCACAACGCCTTCAAGTAATCAACGACGTGTTCGATACAACCTGCAACAACCTGCACCGAATGCGAGCGCCCCGGGGAGGGAGTAAGGGAGTCCTACACAGAAGTCCCACGTTTCCGGCCCCTTAACGCACCGGTTTGACCACAACTGCAACGCAAAAAAAAAAAGTTGTTGACGTTGTTTGAATTAAAGAGGCAAAAAAAAAAATAGCCTCTTCCTCACCGAGGCGTGCACATCAACTTCGAAGGGGGGGGCACCGGCGTGTTGGTTGCCTCCACCGCTTGTGCCGTGCCGGCTGCCGCCGCCGACCTTGACCCCTGCCGGGACCTTGCCTTCCTGAGAGGATAGTGGTAGGGTCGTTGGTTGGTGCAACGGTTGAACGACACACGACAAGGAAGGCTGGGCCCCTCAGCAAGCACGTATCCCTTGAGACTAGAACACCACACAAATCGGTCAGGGGCGCAGGGGGAGGGGAGTAGAAAGCATAAAACTCACAGGTACACCTAAAACACCAGCGACAGGTCCCAGGTCTATTTAAGCGAGGGGAGGGGGGGGGGGGG